CACCTACCCGGTTTACTAATGCAAGAATGAATAAAAAATTTGAATAGCAATAATGAATCAAAATAATAATAAAATTTGGGTACGTCGAATAGTTATATATTTTTTTCTTTATACACATTTTTTTGTATTTACATTATATGTATATGAATACGAATGTATGATGATGTAATTAATTGAGTTAATTTCTAAAGCAAGGATGAATAAAGAATGTGAATAAATTAAGTGAATAGGAAATATGGAACAACAACAAAATATTAACAAAAACAAATAACTTATTTTATTCAATGATCCTAATTTCTTAAACCATCAAATCTAATATTCAAATAAAACTATTAATCCATGGAAAAAAAATAAAATTACAAAGAACATGAACAATATTTGTTCATATTATGAAAATCATGTATCTTTGCCTTGCCGTTCTCAGATCTTTTGCAGATTCCAAAGCCGGGTCATTAGAATGAGGTGCTTGCTTCTAATCTGATTTGAATGCGTCCATGCAAGATCAATCTGAATTTAGCGGTGGTCGAGTTATAGATACCAAGGCTAGTATCTAATTCATAATTACGAATAAAATAGATACGGCTTTCCTCTAGTTCTTCCCTTATCTTTTGAATATTAACATTGCGTACCAAACCGACGATGTGTGCGCCCTACAAATACAAAAAAATAACGATTAAACAAAATATTTTTGTATGTAGTTCAAATTGTAAAAAAAAAAAAAAATAGAAAAATACCTCCCTATCTTGAAAGAGGATCTTCAAGATGTTGTGTTGAAGATTTGGAGACTCGCGCTCAAACATACGAACCATGAAGTTTTAACGGGAATCTCTTGTTTCTTTCAACATCATTAATGATACCGAAAGGTTTTTCCATGTCGATTGGTGGTGTTTTTGTTATTTGGAACTATGCTTTTATACATGCGTGTAAAGTGTTAAATATCGGTTTAGAATGTTGAATATTTATAGGGTGTATATTCAAATTTCTGATGGGAGATAATAACGTGAAACNAAAAAAAAAGAAATAAAAGAGAAGGTTTTTTTAAAAAATAAAAAATGTGTATCTTTTGGTTAATTAGTTCCACAAAAATAGTTATTCTAAATCACGTACCAATAAACATGGCATTAGGAGATTTTGTTGATTCGAATTTCTAAATTTTAAAATTATTTTATTAATAAATATATATTCCTTCGTAATAGGAGATTTTGTTGATGTATACTATCTAAAAAAAATATCTTATCACATATTCGATTTTTTTCCAAAAAAAAGTTCTCCACAATGCTCGCATATTTTTTTGGCGTTCTCCACAATGCAGCGATTTATTTGAAACTCCTGTCCGTTCAAATTAAAAAAGAAAAAAGTTTCCATTAAAAGAAAGCAATAAATACAAATGAGTATTGACCATAAATTGACCAGCCATTCTTGATAAATGGTAAATCTTATTATATATATATAGATATCTTGTCTAAAAAAATATATTCTCAAATGCAAGTGCAAGTAGACTAGGTCCTGTTGACGTGCCGCCAGAAAAAAGAGACCCGGTCTACACTTAAGTCTATTTTACACATACACCTCAATCACCAATCACCTCCGATTCTCCGCCCGCAACACCACAACATCATCGTCACGAGGTTATAAAAGAAAGAAAATGAATAAGGCTCAAAGGGGGTGACTAGCGAAATTATTTACGAGAAAAGAAAAAGGGAAATAAAATACAAGGAATGCCTCAATCATTTTTCGCATTTTACAAATTCAACCAATTTATTCACAGCAGAGTCAAGGCAAATTCTAACTGAATATAATTCAGACCAACATCTCACAAGAAACGAATATGGCTCAAGCCTCACAAGGTAGGTGATGTCAATCAAAATAACCAAGCAATACATCAAGATGCGACCCCATGCTCATCATCACAACTTCTCAACTCAATCAACAATTATTAACTAGTCTCACAATTCTCTACAGTCCAAACTCAGAAAGACACAACACATAATCCTAAAAGCTAGAGCGATCAACCACATAAGCATGCAAAATCCAAATAAACTCCCCCACACTTAAAACGAGGCAATGTCCTCATTGCTTCAACACAAAATCGGGAAGACAAATAACGGAACCTAGCAATCTCATATCATGAACCAATACCAGCAGCTAGCACACAAAAACAAAAGACTCAAAAAGAAAATACACGAAACAACCTCACAAAGATGAAAAGAGAAAGGTTGTGCAAACCGAAGTAGCGACGAGGGAACTAAGCATTCACGTTTAAGCCTTTCGCCCATGATCAACCGGTCCTCGATACGTCCTGCCAAGAAAAACACAGAACTCCAAACCCCAATTATTCAAAGATAAAACAAAAAATCAAAAAAGAAAATAACCAAGAAAGCATAATCACTTGGGTGCCTCCCAAGAAGCGCTTGCTTAACGTCATTAGCTTGACGAAACCTGCATACGCATCAACCAGGATCCAAAAAGAAGTGGCGATCGTGCCATGCCTTCGTGTTTTCGAGAAGTGGTAGCCCAGGCAGTTTGGCAAGAAGGCGGGCATGGTGGATCCGGGTGACTGTGTTCTAGAGAAACCTGACGTGGGCACGAGCAATCCCCAGTAGTTGACATAGAGCTTTTCCCACCCGAGCTCTGTCATTAACCTCAGGGATAACGAGCACATCCATGGAACAAGTCGAGTTAGATCTGGCCCACTTGGTAGCACAGTGTGATGGCTCCGAAGGTGAATGCTCCATCTCGGTAGCATGAGGAGGGGCTCGAGAAATGGTGACATGATCAAGTCCATGAATCTCCTTCTCCAAAACATCGTCGTCCCACTGGAGAGCATCATCTTTCTTTTCGGTCGCACACATGTGCATCGGAAAACACGTTTGGGCACCAACCATAAGATGGGAGTTGTCGACTTTTGACTCGATAGAGTTGAGACGTGCTGTTAGATTTTCCATTTGAGCGCTCAATCGAGCACACCTGAGCTCAATCTCCCCTTCCCGGTTTGCTTGGGCCATCATGCGATCGAGGATGAGATCAAGTTTGGCGTTGAATCCCGAAGAGTCGTCCTCAAGCTCATCGAAAGGTACGGGCTGTGGACGTGGGTCCACAACCATGGACTCTATAGAGTCGATGCGCTTTGCTAGACCCTCCAACTGCTCGCTCAACCGCGCACATTTGAGCTCAACATCCTCTCTTCGACTTGCTTGGGCCATTACTTGAGCCAGGATTAAATCAAGTTTTTCGTTGAATGCGGCCTCTTCTTCTCGAGCTGACTGAGATGTTATAAAATCGAGAATCCGGTCGAGCTTCTCATTATGCTCGTGGGACTCATAAGTTTGTGTTTGTCCCATTTTTGTTATCTTTTTGCTTGTTAGTTTATAGGTTTTTAGCCCCCGGTTTAGGTCTTTTGATAGGATTTTCGGTCTTGCAGTCGTTTATTTCGTGTCTTTGAATTATTTCGTTATTTTTGTATATTCGTTGGTTTCTTCTATTTTTACTCTTGTATTTGGAGGTGTGCAGGTTCGGATTTTTGACTAAGTGTTCGAAGTTTACCAAGACGAGCTAGCCTTCCCAGTTGCCACGCCGCGGCGAGTCTCGCGCCGCGGCACTTCACTCCTTTCACGGCGCGACCACACACGCGGAGCCCTTAACGGGCCTTCAGACGATCCTTTCCAGCTGCCACGCCGAGGAGGGTGACGCGCCGTGGACTTCTGCTCTGCCACGCCGATTGCCACGTCGCGACGACCTTAACGGGTGGACAGAGAAGTTCAGCAGTCCTAGGTGTCACGCCGCGGTGATCCCCGCGCCGCGGCACTTCAGTCCCTTCACGCCGCTGCCATTCCCACGCAGCGCAACTCCCGGTCTCCGCGCCGTGACCACCATTCCGCGAGGTCCTTCACGCCGCCACATCAGCGCGTCGCGCCGCGGCACCTCATCTTTTAAAATTTGTAATCTGTTCGCGTTTAAGTAGGATCGAGCGAGGGTTTGAGAATTCATTCTGCACTTTTCATTTTTCTCTCGTTTTATCAGACGAAAAACTTGTTCCTTTTATCTTTCGCTTATTTTGGAGAATTTTGGGAATGACACCTAGAATTATTTCATCGTGGATTTGGATTGTGCTTGAGATTAACACTCTTTATTTATCTGTCGTAAGTTTTCTTCTCATTTGACTATGAGTTTGGAATATTTACTGTATACAATGCTTTGTGTTCATCTTAGCATGAGTGGCTAAATCTTTAAGCTAGGGATAGGGGGTGATTACTCATACTCGTGTGCTTATCGTGCTTGTGAATTTCGTTCAATCTTTTCGAGTCACTAGTGGAAAAAACGCTTTTTATATCGGGTGAAATTGACTTTTTATATTGGTTTCCACTTCGATATAATTTCAGCCCATATAATAAGTGTCACCTTTTTATATCGGGCAATACCACATATAGAAAGTAACCTTTTTATATCGGGTGAATGAATCACCCCATCTAAAAGATACATCTAGAAAGCCGAATTATAGAATACCCGATATAAAAAATATATTTTCTATATCGGGTGAATGAATCACCCCATATAAAAAATATCTTTTTATATGGGGTGGACTTCGAACCCGATATAAAAAATAGATTCTACGTGTTGTTTTTAAACCGATATAAAAGATTTTAACCGATATAAATTTTTTTATATCACACTTTATTACCCGATATAAAAAGTATATATTGAAACCAAATGTACCATCAATATAACTAAATAGATAAAAATAAAATAAATTAACTAAAATTAGTTCATTGTCAATAATACCAACGGAGTTTAACATCTCTCAAAAAGCTAACAATACTAGCAAACTCAAATAGTTCAGCATAAATCAAATATTCCAAACAAAAGCCTATATAGTCTACTACTTTGCCAATGAGGCGATATAGAGAAAATACTCGGTCCACCGTCTCTGTATATCATGAATTTCTTCTTCCAAGTATGCTTCTTCCAAATCAAACCCCTAATTGAAAAACCATACAACAACAACAACAACATACCAGTATATTCCTAATTGAAAAACCATAAATAATAATAAATCAAGACTAAAAGAACATAATTCATAAACCAAGAGGTAATTTTGGAAAGTAGGAAATAACATAAGTTAAGACGCATAACATATTTATTAAAATAACAGAAAAATAAGAAAAGTAGGAAATAAGATAAGACAATTTAAGTTTCTACACCAGCAACTTATGGCTTTAGTTACAGATCTTACCTTTCCATCATATTCTCTCCTTGAGAGGACCTCTGGAGCAATATGGTATAGTTGATTTTCGCATCAAATGTAGTAGAGATGACTTAAACAGAGAAATAAAGAAGGAAACTGGTAAGCACATTTATTTGTGTACAAACATTCTTAAACAAAAGATACACCTAAATATCTAGTATCTATCACTAGCTTTGAGTAACCAAAGTTGCATATTTTCAGACGCGGGGTTGGGCTTCTATCCAGATGGCATATTTGCTACAGACCAAGGAGTAACTAAGATAATGTTATTGCAATGACCACATTCAACAAGGTTCAAAAGATAATGCATGTATGCACGTTCCTATTCGTAAGTTAGGTTTATCTTACCATGGAGTGACAACAGCCGACTCCAGAAATAAGTTACTGGAAGAAGTATCTTGACTGGAAATATAATGAAACACGGACCAAAATATAACACACATCATACGAACTTCCTCTCTCAATTTCACAAGTGAGCAAAAATTGGTGTCAAAATAAAATGTGTTAATACCTCATCTTCACTAAACCGTCCAGCATTACAAATCCTCTCAAATAGCTCTCCAACAGCATACTCCATAACAATGGCCAGATGTGTTGGGGGTCAAAACACCTGTGCATCACAAAGCAAAATACTCAAATACATATTGTCAATCATTCCACCAAAGGAAAATTAATGAAAATGGAATCTTTACCTCCTTGAATCGAATTATATTGGGATGCCGAAGTGATCTATGGATTATGATCTCCCGAGCCACATTTTCATCAATCTACAAGTTCAAACAAAAAAAATCTCCTAAATCAAAATTAAGACAACTAAAGTGTACATTAGGAAACAACAATCACATGTTTCAACTACCACATAATTCAACACCGACAAAAGAGAAAAGGGGTAAGGCTTTTGGGCATCCTAGAACATTAAAATAAAACCATGCAAACACCGATAGTAGAGATCACGAAACCCCAAAAAAAAAAAAAAACAGGCAACTGAAAGTACCACAAGTGATCTGCCAATATAAATGCTGCAAAAAGTTGAAACCTTGTGCCCTCTTTCAATGTATTTCATGGCGTCTATTCAGCTTCATAAAGAATAAAACATCATAACCTTGTTCATATTTATGTGGCAAATACCAGGATTGCCTCAGAAGTCTCGTCGAACGACATTTGAGAATAATATCTGTAATAAGACAACACAGTGAAATCCAATATCAGTTTAATTTTTCAGCTTTCTCCAATGCGCAATATTTATTGTTTGGAGGCTTCATCTATATGATCGATCATGCAAAGAATATGGCTCCAGTAAAATTAATACATGTAATTCTGCAAGGTTAATTATCCAAAAAGGTTGCATAGATGGAGAGTTGAAGGCTTAACCTCGGCAGGGTTGAAACTGAAAGAGGGGTCGGGCCGCCGTTTGTCGCGGTTGGCCCATCGAAAGCCTCCGTCACTTATTTATATATATCTGAATCTTGCAATAATTTTTAAAAATACTCTATACTAAAAGTGAGAGAAAAAGTTACCATTCGATTTTCAAAGGTTCATATGAATGCATTTGAGAATAGCAACGTGATTTAATGATAAGAATTTCAATGGTGCTCAACCCAAAACATAAGCTATGCGGCAGAAAACAGACAAGATACTACCACATGTACACACATTTGTTGTAAAGAAAACAATTAGTTCAAAACAATATAAAGCACTCAGGTATTAAGTCATCCAAGAAACTCAGGTATTAAGTCGGTCAGTCATGTAAAAATTCCATATGCAGCAAATAGTGAAACAGTATGAGAACAGATGAATAGTAATTCCATCAACATTAGAAAGTGGGATTGTTGCAACAAAAATAATTAGTAATTCCACCAACATTAGAAAGTGGGATTTTTGCAACAAAAGGAATTACCATCTTCACGTTCGTTTCCCTCAGCATCACAAGAAGCAGGTTCCAGTATGTCCATGGAGTTTGCAATCAAATCATCCATACAAGAGATATTTAGCATTCGCATGAAACTATTCTTGTCTTCCACTCTAGGAACATAAAGCTTCTTTCTCACCTGTGAACGATCATCTTAATAAAAAGGAAAAAATAAAAAGTAAGGACCTTTTGTAATTGATACAACATTAAGAAGCACACAAACAAGAAAACACATCATGCTCACTATTAAAACATCTATAAAAAGTCACTCATAGATATTTCATTTTGAAAATCTCACACAACTCTAATTTCAAATGAAGTGGGTGTAAAACCCGAGTATTGTGGAGTTTGATCAATTTCAATGAGCTTTTACTGATGACAGCCTAACTAAGTTTCCCACTCCTAAGCTAAAAATGTAATCACTTTCAAGTTTCAACCATTCGAATCAATCGAAGGCAATCAATCAACAAATCGCTCAGATAACCATCTATAGATTTCTACCAGCATAACATGTCCTACATATATATATCATCAAAATAACACCTCAAAAAGGAAAGCACATTTTGACTCTGCAAAAGGCCAAACAAGAAACCCAAAAAAAAAGAAAAAAAGAAAAATCACCTTGATCCGTGTTCCTCAAAATTTCTGAAAGAACTTTAGCTGTATCAACTTCTCTCAAATCCCCACAACTTATATAAGCGCAGAGCCTCCTACAAGACTTGAACCATGGAGCTTCCAACACAATCCTTTGTATAGCATCATCTGTACGAACAAACCACACAAAACCCACGTCTTAACCAATGATCTCCACAAGAAAAACCAATGATCTCCACAAGAAGGTAAAAGATTTAAAACGAAATTAGCTAAATAGACCCGATTAGCTGCGCCCATTTATTACCTTCTTGAGATCTAAGCATCGGGTCCATTGATCTGAGCTCAGGTATTAAGTCATCCAAGAAACTCGGGTATTAGTTCATCCAACAATATAAAGAACTCAGGTATTAAGCCATCCAAAAAACAACGTTTATAGAAGTGTAGCAGAGCATAAAATTTTATTAATGAAACTCACGAAGGATGTTTGGTGTGTCGGCAGTGCCGGTGGCGGAGGCAAAATGTGTTCAACGGAGGCAGGGACTAAAAATTCACGACAGAAGGAAACAAGGGTTAGAACTTCACGGCGGACGGAATTGGGGGCTAGAACTTCACGACCGATGGAAGCGAGGGCTGGAACCGAACGTGTACACGGCGTGCGGAGGCGGGGCTACAAAGACGGGCGGCGGCTGGAAATTCACGACGGACGGAAGCGGGAACTTCACGGCAGACGGACGAAATTGAAGGCTGGAACCGAATAGGTTCACGGCGCACGGAGGCAGGGGTGGGGCTAGAAAGACGGAGAGGGGAGTTGGAATTTCACGGCGGGCGGAAGCGGGAGGTCGGGGCTGGAAAGACGAAGCCAATTTGTTCACGGCGCGCAGGGAGGTCGGGCGGGAAAGTGAACAATCACTTCGTGGGAGAGCCAATTTGTTTACCCTAGTGTCTGAATTACTTTATGTAAATATGATTTGTATGTATTTGATTTATTTTCTATATATGGTGAGTAAAAACTGCATATAGATCATTTATATTTTATATGTGGTGGAGAATGACCCTATGTTAATTTTGATGGGTCTTGGGTTTCTATATGTGGTTACTAGAAACCACTTATACATAACAATAGTTTTATTACAAAAATGCCACCGTCCTACTTTTCGTATCAGGTATGTGACACCCTATATAAAAAGTGACATCTAGAATGTGTTTTTTCTACTAGTGAGTTGATTTAAACCTAGGGTTAGATGCTTGATCACCATTCTGATCTAATTAATCGACTTGTAGAACCGAATCGGTAGATCTAGGCTCGACTAGAGTAGGCTTGTTTGTAATTGTATTGCCTACGTGTTAATTGATTGGTTTGATTTGCCGTCTACATTTTTCCTCTTGTTACGAGATGTTATTGAGGAATAATTTTTAGATGTGTAGGTTAATTGAATCATTTAGCCGAACGAATTCTACTCGACATTTGAATTTGATTTGAGTTTAATCAACCCCCAATCCCTAGCCTTCGTACGTAGAAGAAACTCGTTTTAAGTATTGATAATTGTTTATTTGCATTGTTTGAGAATTAATAGTTGATAATTGGAAACCAAAATCATTGAGTTAGAGTGTTTAGGAATTTATTTGCTTTTTCGTGTGATTGAATATCCGTACAATTAATCCGGCTGACCTTCCTTGAGATACGACCCAGTGTTCGAATCTTTTGATTCTACTCCGGTAAAAATAACTACAACAAAATGACGCCATTGCCAGGGAAGGTTTAGGACTTATTTTGTGCGCCTATTCATTTTGTTTTCAATGTTTCTCTTATTTTTGTGATTTCTTGTTTTTTGTGTTTCTTTTCGTTTCATTTTCTTATTTAGGCTTAGTGTTTTCTTGTTTCGCTTTTCTAGTCTCTCTCTTATCTATCTGGTGCCCGTGACGTTTTGTTGTTTTTGTTTATGCGTACCAGGAGCGGTCTTGTAATCATCCCGAACAACAAATCAATCCAGAGGGATCTACAAGAACTGTTGGCTAACCTTGCCCCTGAATCTTCAGACTCAGCCAACCGAGACTCAGATAGCCAAGGAGACATGGCACACAACGGTGATGAGGAAGTGAATAACCCACCTCGTCATCTCCTTCGTGATTTGGCTCAACCAATAATTGGGCCAATGACTTCATGCATCCGGCTAGGGCCAGCAGCCCGGAATTACGAGCTTAAAACAATCCACTACAAACAGCTGCCATCCTTCCATGGTCTACCCAACGAGGATCCACTCCATTTCATTCGGGAGTCCTATAACGTCCTCCAGACCTTCCCTCTCCACAACTTAAACGAGGACCAGCTGAAGATGATGTGTTTCTCAGAGACACTCAAAGACCGGGCCAAGGCTTGGTTTATGACACTTGCTCCTGACTCCCTAACCACTTGGGAGCAAGTGGACACCAAATTTATTTGGAAATACTACTCTCACCAGAAGACGCAGGAGCTCCGGTCTCAAATCGTCTCCTTTGCCCAACAACCGAACGAGCCACTTCATGAAGCATGGGAGCGCTTCAAAAACCTCTAGAGGCAGTGCCCACACCATAACTTCCCACCTGCCTTGTTGATGAACAGCTTCTATGACTCTCTCCACCAGAATTTCCAGTACATGGTGGACAATGCGGCCGGCGAAGATATTTTGGCAAAGACGGCCGAGGAGATGAATGATATTTTTGAGGCGATGAGCTCTAACTTGTCTCAAAAGATCATTCGAGGAAAGAGGGTCGGGGTCCACAAAGTATCTTCTAGGCGAGACATGATGGCCCATCAGATAGCCGAGCTCACAGAGCAGATGCGGCTACTGAATGCAAAGGGAGGCCAACCAATGCAGACAATGACCGTTGAAGCATGTGGTGCCTATGGAGTCCAAGGACACAGATCGGAGGTATTCCCCTCGGCATTCGATAAAGACTTTGGTGAACAATATGAGGATGTTAATGCTCTTCAAGGCTACCAGAACCGACCGACCAACAACCCGTACTCGAACACATACAACCCAGGGTGGAGAAATCACCCAAATCTCTCGTGGTCTAACAACAACAACATCCAGCAGCCTCCTCGACAGAACTTCATGCAGCAACAGCCCCGACCCACCTTCATTCCCCAACAGCAGATGAGGCCAAACTATTCTCAACAGCAGCAACAACAACATAGGGGTCCGATGGGAGGAGTACAAGCACAAGGGGCCGGCTCTAGCTCATCAAACCAAGACGACAAACTGGACAAGATTCTCCATTTTATGGCCAACAGTGAGCAAAGGGGCTTGAACACCGATGCATTCATCAAACGTCTAGAGACACAGTTGGGCCAGCTTGCTATGAGAGTGGGGAACATGGAGGCCGACTCAGACAAAGGGAAGCTACCTACCCAGCCTAAAGAAGCCAAAGCCATAACAGTGTTGAGAAGCGGGAAGGAGGTAAACAACCACGTGAAAATGCCTGAGCCTGATGACCTTACACCAACCGACCAGCCCGAAGGAGTAGAGGAGAGCCCGAAGAAGAATACAGAAGCTGAGCCAAGGAAGCAGACAGACGGCCCAATGTTACACAAGTCACCAAACCCTTTCAAACCAAGCATACCCTTCCCGAGCCGACTCTGAGACGAGAAGTAGGAGCAGCAATTTCGGGACCTATACAACATGCTCTCAAAAGTCAACGTTAACCTACCACTCTTAGACGTGATCAAGAACATGCCTTCCTACGTGAAGTTTTTCAAAGACTTAGTGACCAAGAAGAGAAAATTCAGAGATGGAGAGAAAGTAGTAGTCTATGAGGCAGCTAGTGCAATGCAACATGAGGCCTCAAAGAGGTAGTGCAATGCAACATGCCATTCTCTATCTTCCAGCGGCTCGGCTTAGGAGACTTGAGGCCAACCCGCATGTGCCTTTAGCTCGCAGACCGTTCTATCAGATACCCCAAAGGGGTAGTGGAAGATGTCCTGGTTCGTGTTGGGAAACTTATCGTCCCGGTGGACTTCGTAGTTCTAGATGTGGGGGACGTGCAGGAGAACGGAAAGGATCACACAATCCTTCTCGGCAGACCGTTTATGGCCACCACCAACACCCTAATTGATGTCAAGAACGGGACATTGAATATGACGATCTTGGGTGGGTCCGTTTCTATTTCAGTCCGAGAAGCCACATCTACATCCTCAGTGAACTTTGTGGAGGAGTGCGCCTTCGTTGATATAACGACCCGTTTGTGGAGGAGACGACTATACGTGACTACGAAGAGAGGTCAATGCCCGACCTCGACGATGGAGAAGAGCCAATCATTGAGCTTTTCGCAGCTGACGAGCCACACGCACCTACTCCACCCGCATTAGAGCTTAAGGAATTACCCCGCCATCTCAAGTACGTCTTCCTTGATGACGAGAAGCAAAAGCCGGTCATCATCTTTGCCGAGCTTAACCGGGACGAGGAGAATGGGCTAATTGAGGTGCTAAAAAAGAATCAAAAGGCCATTAGGTGGAGCCTCGGAGACATAACAGGCATCAGCCCCTCTACATGCATGCACCGGATCATCTTAGAAGAAGGTGCCAAGCCATTTCGGGATAGCCAGCGGCGGCTCAACCCGAATATGATAGAAGTAGTGAAGAAGAAGGTGCTCAAGCTCTATTCAGAAGGGCTCATTTACCCAGTGGCAGACAGCGAGTGGGTCAGCCCGATCTGTGCCCAAGAAGGGGGGTATCACGGTCATAGAGAATGAGAACAACGAGATGGTCCCCACCCGCATCACTACCGGGTGGAGAATGTGCATAGACTATCGGTGCCTCAATGCCGTGACAAAGAAAGACCATTTCCCGTTGCCGTTCATCGATCAGATTCTCGACCGTCTCTCGGGTCATCAGTTTTACTGCTTCTTGGATGGACTTTCCGGCTACTACCAAGTAGCCATAGCACCCGAGGACCAACCGAAGACTACCTTCACTTGCCCATTCGACACATTTGCCTTCAGACGGATGCCTTTCGGCTTATGCAATGCACCCGAGACCTTCCAAAGGTGCATGTTCTCCATCTTCTCAGATATGCTCGAGGACTGCCTACAGGTATTTATAGATGACTTCTCTATTTTTGGCACTTCATTTTCTGATTGTCTCCATAATTTATCTTGTGTGCTTGAAAGGTGTATTGAGTCTAATTTGACCTTGAGTTGGGAGAAGAGTCATTTTATGGTGACTGGTGGAGTTGTGTTAGGCCATGTGGTGTCTAATCGTGGTATTGAGGTTGATAAGGCAAAGATTGATGTTATTGAAAAACTTCCTCCTCCTGTGAATGTGAAGGGAGTTAGAAGCTTTTTGGTCATGCTGGCTTCTATAGGAGGTTTATAAAAGATTTTTAAAAAATTAGCCAGCCTTTGTGTCACTTGTTTGCCAGTGATGTGCCTTTTGTGTTTGATGATGCATGTGTAGATGCCTTTGATAAGTTGTAAAATAAGCTTGTGACTGCACCTATTGTTATTGCTCCTGATTGGTCGTTGCCTTTTGAGATTATGTGTGATGCTTCGAACCTTGCTGTTGGAGCCGTCTTTGGTCAACGAGTTGATAAGTTACTTCGTGTAATTTATTATGCTAGTTTGACCTTAAACGGTGCCCAATTGAACTATACCACCACCGAAAAAGAGCTTTTAGCCGTTATATTTTCTCTTGAAAAATTTAGATCTTACATTTTGGGATCTAAGGTGATTGTTCATTCTGATCATGCGGCTCTTAGGTATCTTTTGAGTAAGACTCAATCGAAACCTAGACTCATTCGGTGGATTTTACTTCTGCAAGTGTTTGATGTAGAGATTCGTGATAGAAAAGGTTGTGAGAATGTTGTTGCTGATCACTTGTCTCGCATTGTTCCTTCTGATTCTTCACCTACATTGCATGAACGTGTTGGTGTAAATGATAATTTTCCTTATGAGCATGTTAGTGAAGTGACTACTATTCCTTGGTATGCAGACATTGTGAACTACTTGTCGTGTGGAATATTGTTACCTAACCTCTCTTCCCAAGAGA